GCCCTTATTAATAAATGACTTTATATTTATTGTAAGGTGTTTAATAGGGTAAATATGAAAAGATAAGATTAGTTTGAAAATAGGTAACTATTTTATTACATGTGAGATTCTGTTAAAAATACCTCATATTTTTTAATAGAGGGGATAGATAATAACTAAATACGTATGATATTTATAGTAATATTATATATGTATAAATCTTGGGACCAAGATAAAATTATAAATAGGGAAAAATCAAGGGATCAAAAGTTTATATTTAATAGTATCGTTAATAATCACTATAAAATATTTTTAATTGAAAATTATTAAGTTCACAAAAATATTTTTTAAAATTTAAAATCAACAATAAAATATTGTGCTAGATATTTTGATTAATTTAATAACATCAAAACAACTATAAGTTAAATTTAAAGCATAACAAATATTTATTGAAAGTGATATAATAAACTACGGTTATTAAGACTTCGAATCAAAATTTTGAAAAATGATAGCGTAACAATCACAATGTTGAGAATCAATTATTAGTCATTTTTCATAATGAAGATAAGAATTTTGTTAAAATCATTCAATATATTTTATTTATTTTTATAAAATTCACTCTGGTGATTAATGTATGAAGATTTTTTGGGCCAGAAAAGAAGGGATCATTATATCTATAAAACATATGCTTGATAAAAATTTCAAGGGGGCGGTCGAAAAAATTAAAAAAAAATAATATTACGTGCATTATGATTTAAGAAGTTAAAAATAGTTAAAAAATTTATTTTAACTTATTTATGAAAAAAATTACCTATTTTTTCAAAATGATATATTTTGTTAGCTTTTGTTATATTTATTTAATAAAAAATCGTTTATTTTTTTGAAAATAACATATTTTGGGATAAATTGATTAACTGGCTGAAAAAAAGTTTTAGGATTGTTTCTTTAAGATTAAAAAATAAGCAATTTTTAAATAATTTAAAAATTTTATAAAAAGGGATTTATATTTTGTAAATATTTTATAAAAAACAAACATTATTTTATATTTAGTTACAATAATAAAAAATAATTACTAACATATTTTGTCAGGTTTTGTTATATTTATTTTTAAATTTTATTATATCTTTCTTGATTTTTTTTATAAAAATAATTTTTTAGTATATTATTTTAAAATTTTATGATATTTTTTCATATCCCGTCTCTTTAAAACACATTCTCTCTCTTATACTGCATTAAAATATTTTTAAAATTTATTCAAAGTAACTTCCTAAAATAATCAAAAATATGCTTTCTTTGGATTTTGATTATTTTTAAAAATTTAAACAAATATAATAAAAAATCACAAAATAATTTTTTTAAAAAATTAATTTTTTATGAAATAAGCTAAAATAAGTGGGCCTCTCATGGCTAGAAAATATGGACCACATTGATATATGAGAAATTTATTATTAAAATTTATAAACAATTTATTATTGATATAATAAATGAGTTACTATATCTAAAAAAGCCCCTATATTTTACTAGTTTTTATCATGTTTATTTAAATTTTTAAAAATAATTAAAATAAACAATATATTTATGATTATTTTAAAAAATTATTTTGAGTAGTTTTTGAAAATAATTTAATATGATTAATGAGTAAGAATGTTTTGAAAAATTAAGATACATGAAGATATAAAAATATATAAAAAAATTATTTTTACGAGACAGAAATTAAGAAAGATATAATAAAATAAAAAAATAAGTAATAATAATTTTTTTATTATTATAACTAAATTAAAATAATATCCTTGCTTTATAAAATCTCTACCAAATAAATTTATTTATGTAAAATTTTTAAATTATTTAAAAATTATTTATTTTTTTATTTTAAACAAGCAAGTCCAAAACATGCTATGTTGCATAAGAAAAAATTTATTCATAAAATATTAAACATATAAATGATAATGAGATAATGCAGTATTATTTTCATACTAAATTATAAAATAAGTTGATAAAAATAATATTTTATTAAAAAATAATTTTCAATATTTTAATTTAAAAAAAGATAAAATTGAAATGATTGTGATATAACAATTAAGTTTATATGATAGGTATTTTGAAAATTTATGTTATTGTTTTGAAAAAAAGTAAATTTATAGTGTTATTGAACTTTTTTATACTTAATTTTATCTTAAATTTTGATATGAGAGGAGTATTATTCAAAGATAATTATTTATAATACTCAATTTTGAAATGGTAAGTATTTTTTTTAATTTTATTTATAAATTATATTTTAGAAAGTCTATTTAATTCTGTTTATGAATCACAGCACAACTTTTTGAATAATATTTAAAAGATATTTTTAAAATTATTCTTTATGAAAGAGAAAAAAATAACATAATATCACTTTTTAAATTTATTATATAATAATATATTTAAAATTTTACTTCCTTAGTTTAAAAATATAAAGTATTTTTAATCAAATCTCACCCTTTGATAAAGTAATTACCTACTTTCAAACTAACATTATCTTTTAATATTTACTCATATTAAATATTCTATAATAAATAAAAAGTTATTATCAACAGGCTCACTTTAAAAAAAGATAATAATTATATCTTAAAAAATTAAAAATACTTTATATTTTTAAATATTCAATTTTTTAAAAAATATTTTATATTTTTAAATAAAAAATATATTTTTATTTTTTATATTTTTTTATATTAATGTTGATGAGATTGATAGAAGTTGCTTGCGTAAAAAGAGAGTAATATATGTTATGAAAGAAACGTGTTTAATGAGTAGCAAAAAGAAACAAAGGCAATATTATATATATTAAGTATAGAGGGAAGTACAGTAGGATACGTAGAGTGAAAAACTGTGAAAGGCAAGGGAATGGATCCGACTGTACGGTGACAACGCATAAGCATTAATTGCGAACCTTCCTCCCTTCTCTCCGAAGCTCCCTCAAGTCCACGTCATCTCTTCCGCCCTCCCGCTCCTTGGATTTTCGATAACCCCAAAGTCCAACCTCCCTCTCTGTTCTAAACGACGCTATCTCCATGGCTCTGGTTACTTTCATTCTCATCTATACATACCATCACATCATTTCATATTTTCATTCTTTAATGTTGCGTTTGAATGCAATGTGATTTGAATTTGGTTTAAATCTCTATTATTAACTAGTTTAGGAATATTAAAAAAGGCTAATTCTCGCCCACCAAAGGTTCGAATCTCTATTGAGACAGTGTCAATAATTAATATTCAAATAAAAAAATATATGTGAACAATAAAAAATATATGGGTTTGGATCCAAATTTATATTTTATTATAATTTTTTAGTAATTTTAAATATCCTATACACTCTAATTATTTGATATGTCAATCACACTAATCTTCTTTTCTTCTAAGTTTTATTTTCATCTTTCTCTTTTCATTATTTTTGCATTTGAAATTTTTTATATTATGTAAATAAAATGTGGGATTTAAAATTTAAAATCTAAATTTTAAGTGCATCATTGCAAACGTTGCATAAATTCTTTAAGCAATAATCATTTTTATCAGCTCTTATTTTTAAAATTGTTAATCATTACACGTTATTCATCTTCAACACCCGCTCATGACGCTAACTCTTCTAATAATAATAATCATAATTTTGAATTCCCTCCTAAAATTGGGATCCACAATTCAATCAATGATTGAATTTTTGTTCTAGGTCCATTCAATGATTCATTGTCGATTCCATTTTGAGATATAGAAATGAATTCGATTTTGTGATTTGTTGTTGCCGGGGAGAATTTGTCAGTTAGATGATAGAGCTCATAAAAGAAAAATTGTTCAACCAGCTGCATCAAAATTATTCCTTTATTTTAAATTAACAAAAGCGTTATAAGCGGCATCGAAAATGAATGCCACGTCATCCAGGTGACAAAATGAAATGGCTCCTTATCCTTGTTGTGGAGTGACGCAGCGTAGGAAGTGAAAAAAAAAAAAAAAGAAAAGAGCAGTTTTCTCTTTCTTTCTTTTTTTTTGGAATTGAAGTACATACATAAGCTAGCCATCACTTATACCTATGTAAAATTGGGAAAAAGCTTGAGAAGAAAGAGTAACCAGGATATGAGAGCATAGTTATGCATGTTTTTACGGTAAAAATGTAACTTAATTATTAGGTTAATTTGGGTCATTTCCTTCGCATTCCTTTTATTTATAAGATTAACGTAAATACGGGAAGTCGTATATAGAACGTTGAATGCATGGGGCCTGAGGGTGGTCCCTACCGTCGGGGCCTGGCCTGGCAGGAGAAGAACGTCCAGGGAGACACAGACACATGCAGGCCACAATGAGCTGGCTTGCCTCTATGCATCCATTCACATACACCACAACCCATGGATGGATCCATCTCTGTTTCCCCCCATGGATATATTGAATCACAAAATCTATGTGTATCATCCACATATTATCTAGCCAATTTTCATTTTACCCCACATTCATCCTGTTTCATTTGCTATCATATATAATTTTATATACTCTCTCCAATTCTATTTATTAGATATAAAGAAAAGAATTTTTAATCTCTATTTACGAGACATATTATTAATTTTTATCACAAATTTACTCCTTTTATTTTTTATTAAATGTTTGTAAGAGAAATTATATTATTGAAGTTTTTAAATAAAATTAATATTTTTAATATTTTTAAATAAAATTTATTAAAAATAACTTTAAAATAAATCTAATACTTTATTACTTCAAAATATTTAGTAGTTGTAGTAGTAGTGGTGTCTATCTATGCTGTTGAACGTGCAAGTCCTAGAAGATGCTATTCTGTTGTTCTAAAAAGAATAATGGTAAAATTATTAATATTTATATTTACCATTCATTCTCCAATTAATATTTAAATAATTTATCATAAAACATAATGTCTACTTGTGGCACTAATGAGTGATGCAGCATGCATATAGCTGGAGTACAGTCGTATTAGTACTCATAGTCCTGCTTCTCTCGTTTTAAAGTGTAACTGAATCCGTGCGTTACTTACCAGCACAATGTCTGTGCGCACGAATTGAACCTCACCACCCTCCACCTCTTCTTCAACCGTACTACAGCTTCTTCTATTCTTTTTATCAGTCATGTGATATCCTTCCCTCTCCTCGAAGCTTAAACGACAATCATACACACACAGATACCGTCACTCTTCATTTCTTCCCCATTTTGATCTTCTCTCCCATGGTTACTCTGCATCTGCAATGCCCGCCTTCTTCTTCTATCTCCTCCGGTACATTCTCTCTCTTCTACCCATTACTTTGACTTCTCATACTGTAATGAGCGCAACTTCATCAATTCCCTTGCTTACAGCTACATTTATTCATTCATATATACATTACTTCCTAATAACATTCTCTTATCTGATTTTCTGATTCTTCGACTATAGGTGGATTGGTCAACACCCCCTGGGAAACGATTCTCAGAGCAGCAATGGCCACGCCGTAGACAACAACTTCATCGAGTGCTACGCTTGCACTCAGGTCGGCGTTCCTGTCTTCCACTCCACCAGCTGCGACGGTTATAACCAGCTCCAATGGGAGGCCTCTGCCGGTTCTTCCTTGATCCCCATCCAGAACCGGACCACCCGCAGCGACCAGACGAAGGCCAGGCCCAAATCGGGTCCGTTCGGGCGAGTTATCGACCCGCGAAGCAAGCGCGTGCAGTCCTGGAACAGAGCATTGCTGTTATCGCGTGGGATGGCGTTGGCCATCGATCCGTTGTTCTTCTACGCGCTGTCCATTGGAAGGGAAGGCAGGCCGTGCCTGCACATGGACGAGCGATTGGCGATGATGGTTACGGTGCTTCGCACGTGCGTGGACGCGATGCACTTGTTCCACGTATGGCTGCAGTTGCGGATGGCTTACGTGTCAAAGGAGTCGCTGGTGCTCGGGTGCGGGAAGCTCGTGTGGGATGCACGTGCCATAGCAGCGCATTACCTGGGTTCCTCGAAGCGGTTCTGGTTCGACGCCTTCGTCATCCTCCCCATTCCTCAGGTGATACCACGTCGTTCTCATTCACCGCTGCTCTGTGACGTTTTATGTAAAAAGCGAAAATGAAAAGACCGGATGCTTTTTGGGAAAAAATTAAAAGAAAAAGAATTTCATACCTCCTATGAAAACTGACCTGTCAATTTATTAGGATTTTGCAGAATCTCATAATACGTGACTTCAAGCTTAACTCTTAATTCTTTCGAAATATCACTTGAAATGAAAATAAACATATAGTGTAACACAATTATTATATGATGCCATAAGCTTCATCATTTTTCTTGGAATTGTTACGTGATATTAACTGACAACTACACAACTTTAGAATATTAATGATATAAATTTGATTTGATAATCTGCGCTTTGCTGTTTCTTTCTCTTAATGCTCAATACGCAGCTTAATTAGATTAATCATTTTACTATATATATAGATATATATATATATATATTATATGACTTCGACGATTGTTCAAAAGATTTCTGCAGTCTCTGCTCATTTTAAGTTAGACATTTCTTGCTGTTTGAAATAATTAATACTGACAGTGATGATAAATCATATAACTTTTTTTTATAAATAAAAAAATCAGCCGGTAATGTGTTTGTACAGTAGGTATAAATTTTAAAACGCACACACCCGTTTGGCCAAAAAATCAAGGTTTTAAAAACCAAATCGATTATTAAACCGAACGAGGTACTGGTTCATGGTTCATTGATCGAACCGTGGTCGAACCGGGGTCGAACCGATTGATATTAAATTAATATATTTTTAATTTATGTATCATAATTAAATAAAAAAATACATTTAAATATGCATTTTTTTAAAAATATATTATAGATGCTTGATAATATAATTTTTTATTGATAAATACATAATTAATATTAATTATAATTGAAGCTTTTCATTTAAATATAAAGAAAGATGTAATTTAATTTTAATTTTAATTTATTTTTTTTATTTTTTTAAATTTTTTCTGGTTTTTTCATAAGAACCGGTCCGGTTTTGATTCGGTTTTATCAGTTTTTGATCGGTTTAATCGGTTGTTGACCGGTTCTCTATTAATCGGTTTTTAGGGGTCAACCGAACCGGATCAGGAGCCGATTCCCAATTCAACCAGTTGAACCAACCAGTTCGGTCCAGTTTTTAAAACCTGGCAAAAAACACACTCATACAGACACACAGACATTGTGTGTGAGAGAGTATATGCAGATGCAATGATGATTGGTGTTTTTAGCAAGACAATACTGTAGAGTCTATTAAATTTCATTGGCCCAATCATGCATGCATGCCACGAGGCAAAAAAGAAAAAGTAATGTAAATTCAAAATCATGTAAATAAAATCCGATCCAATATCATTCTCCTTCAGTTCTCTTGAATTTTTCTCACTCTGAGGCAACCTCTTGTTCTAGTGTCGTGTCCAAGTGTTACAAGTCTTACATAAGTGGGGTTTATAAGGAGCTTTTTTATGTAATAAGTTATTTTTTTGGGACAAACTTTCCTTTTAAGCTTATATTCCTGATATTGAGAATACAACATCAAAGAAATGACTACTTACAAAGTCTTTTGATCAATAGAAGGCCAAGTGGCGCCACCAAGAATGTAGACTCTCAATGGAGTTACATTGTAATGAACTCACATTGAAAAATTTTACAAGTGGAACAAGAATTATAAGTTTGAGGGGCACCTTTATCCAATAAGTTAATCTTTTAGAATGAACCCTCTTTTGAGCTTCATTAATAGGTTAAAAGTCTCACAAGTAGAGTGAAATTTACAAATGTGAAGGGCTCTTTTAATTAATAGGCTAGTTTTTTAAAATAAATCTCCTTTTAAACTTATGTTCGTAACATTGGTGTTTTTTTTTTTTTGAGAGGCTAGTAATACTAAAAGGACAACACATAGAGGGTTCTAACAGGTAAGAGTCTCAACAAAATGCTTTGGAGTGGAGCAACTAGAGATGTCAGCTCTCGAGTGGGATGACATTGTTATGAATTACACATTGGAGAGCCTTATAATTAGTGAAGTAGGTTTTATAAATTCAACTAACATGTTAGTATTCTAGGATGAGCTCTCTTCTTGAACTTGTACTCATGATAATTAGTGATACAAAATATTGAAAATGAAAATTTATAAGCAAACTACAAAGAGTATCATTACATTGTAATTAAGTTATTATTTCCGCTAATTTGGTTTTGTATGAGTAGGAAAGAAAGCACTTTAGGTTTCTCCTTGCATACAAGTTTACTGATTTGTAACTGCCTGATTATATTGGTGAATAATTTAACTTAGCATTTATAATAAAAAACTTGTACACATACTTTTGCCCTTTATTAATTTCTTTTCCTTTACAGCGGAATTCAGTTTTGCGCTGACTCTACGTTTCCTTTCTATTTGCAGGCCGTGTTTTGGTTAGTACTGCCCAAATTAGTAAGAGAGGAGCAAATTGAACTCATAGTGACAATACTGCTATTAATCTTCTTGTTCCAGTTTCTCCCCAAAGTCTACCACAGTATCATCTTGATGAGAAGAATGAAAAAAGTCACTGGCTACATCTTTGGTACCATTTGGTGGGGATTTGGCCTCAATCTCATAGCTTACTTGATTGCTTCTCATGTAAAGTACACTTTAACTGAGTTTCAAGCTTGAGTTCGCGTATTATGATGCATCTTGAATGGGATTTTCTTTTCCATTTTTTCATCCTTTTGTTAATAATCTGTAGGTTACTGGAGGGTGCTGGTATGTCCTGGCAATTCAACGTGTTGCATCATGCCTCCAGAAGCAGTGTGAAAGTAGTCCTAGTTGTAATCTGTCTCTTTCATGCTCAGAGGAGGTTTGTTACCAATATCTGTTGCAGAAAAGCACACTCGAAAGTCCATGTGGTGCAAACTCCACAGTAGTGGTGAGAAAGACTTCATGCTTAGATTTTGAAGGACCTTTCAATTACGGGATCTACCAGTGGGCTCTTCCAGTCATATCCAGCAATTCCTTGGCTGTCAAGATTCTATATCCCATATTTTGGGGTTTGATGACTCTCAGGTAAATTGTAAAACAGACTAGTTAATTCTCGATTGTCTCATTTCTTTCGTAAGAAATCATTGATTTTCTGGTTGGTGATCGAAACTTCAACTTAAATCGTGGCCCTCCTACGCTATATATGCACACGGTGGATCAACACGATTGGTACAACTGTAGATAACATCTTTTCATCGCATTGGAAAAACCTGTTCAAGTGCTGGTAGTTTGGTGGACACAACACACTTTGAAAAGAAGTTAGCTACTCTCTTGTTATTGCTGCTGGAACTTTCTCTTCAGATGCTGCGAATATGCTGAAATCATTTTGCTTTTCATGTCAACTTCTATCTCTTCGCTTGCTGTTGTAGATTTATAATTTCAGGAATTCCATTGGTTATATAAAACCAGGTATTAGACTGTGCATAGAAATGAGCCGCGTTGATTTCATGTTACAAATAGTTTGTTATATGGATTTGATATTTTACATTGACCTCAATGTTTCAAATTTGTGTAGGAATTAGCTTGATAGAACAAATGCAATTTTTTTCATGTAAAATTATATTTCATTCAATTGAGGAAAAAATGACATGCAAGATCAAGCACATTCACTGGCACAGAGATATTCCTAGAGATATTCCTAGAAATTATTCTGGGTGAAATTTGCTTAAGCACGTTTGATCAAGGGTAAAATGTCTCTGCTCAATTCCTCCTTGTTCTTGCAGCACCTTTGGCAATGTTCTTGAACCCACAAGTCACTGGCTAGAAGTAATTTTCAGCATATGCATTGTGCTCAGTGGATTACTGCTTTTCACTTTGTTGATTGGGAACATCCAGGTATATAGATTGAAGAGGGAGTGGTTATATTTCAAAAGCATATGCTAGAATTTCTCTCACTTAGAACAACTGTGGCATATTGAAACATCAAAGTTTGCACATTGAGAATTGATCTTTGCTGTTATGAAGGTATCCCTACTTGCAGTAATGGCAGAGAAGAGAAAGATGCAGCTGAGATGTCGTGACATGGAGTGGTGGATGAGGAGGAGGCAGCTTCCGTCACACTTAAGACAAAGAGTTCGCCATTTTGAGCGTCACAGATGGACCATGGGAGGAGAGGACGAAATGGAATTGATAAAGGACTTACCAGAAGGTCTGAGGAGGGACATCAAGCGCTATCTATGCTTAGACCTCATCAAAAAGGTAACAAAGCTGAGAAATATTGATATCACTGTTGTAGCATTGAAAAGATGAGAAATACTGTCATTCATATTTTTGATAAATACTCAATTACTAGTTAAAATTCAAGACCCATTTCAACCATGATTCTTAACTGCATGACATATTTTGACCATAAAAAAAAAAGGAAAAATATATAAATAGCAGTACTACTGGCACCTACTTCTATGGAAAAAAATAAACTCAACCAAACCAAGATGCAATAGACTGATTTCCTGGAAAAGAAGATGCCTTGATTTGTGTTTCGGAACCAATTTGAAAAATGCAGAATAGAGAAGCAGGTTTACGGCGGCTTTGACCCAAACACGAGTTTAGAGAAACCAAACAAATAAGGTCATGATTGTTTTAGCTCTAATGTCGGTTTAGATATTGCAAATGGAAGACTAAACGTAGCCTTAACAATTTCAAAGGTGATAAAGTTCAAAGAAGCAAATGTAAGAGTTACTGGTGGCAGAGCAATTGACCCCATTACATTGATGACCAGTCTCTCGGGATTCTTCTTTTTGACAGGCACCTCTGTTTCACAACTTGGATGATCTTATTCTTGATAACATCTGTGACAGGGTTAAACCCTTAATCTTCTCTAAAGATGAGAAGGTACAAATCAAATTGAAACCCCGTTTTCTATTAAACATTTGTTGAAATCTCTACAGTTCTGTTTAGCTAGTGAATGCTACTGTCACGTGAAACAGATAGTCAGAGAAGGAGACCCAGTGGCAAGGATGGTGTTCATTGTTCGTGGACGAATAAAACGCATCCAAAACCTAAGCAAAGGTGTGATAGCCACGAGTAACCTCGAAGCAGGAGGGTTTCTGGGTGATGAGCTGCTCTCATGGTGCCTTCGCCGGCCGTTTATAGACCGGCTTCCGGCGTCCTCAGCAACATTCGTATGTGTTGAATCGACTGAAGCGTTTGGCCTGAGTGCTGAACACCTCAAGTACATCACTGATCACTTCCGCTACAAATTTGCTAATGAAAGACTCAAGAGAACAGCCAGGTATTACTCATCCAATTGGCGAACCTGGGCTGCTGTCATTATCCAACTTGCTTGGCAAAATTACAGGAAAAGGAGTAGAGGTTCAATGGTTTCTGTAATTGAAAATATAGCCACTGAACGCAGGCTCTTGCAATATGCTGCAATGTTCATGTCAATAAGGCCACATGACCATCTTGAATAAGTGGCTTTATGTTTGACGTTTGTTTCCTCCTTTTTTAACTGAATAAATTATGTTAAAATTTCACATAAAAAAATTAATTATTATAAAATTTATTATTAATTGAGTTCAAAATTATTTTGTCAATAACCTTAATTCAATTATTAATCAATATTGTAGTAACTAATTTTTCTATGTAGGATCTATATGTAATTTTCTCTTTTTAATTTAGCTTTTCAAAAGAATTTTTCTATATGTTTGGACTAGGCTAATTTGAGTTTAAATAAATGAAGTTAGTGTAAACATTTATTTTCCCTGAGTCCAACGGTAGTTTTGAACTGGCAATAGATGTCTGGTCAAAGAAAGATAAAGATCACAAATTGAGCATCTGCCACTGTAAATTAGTTCTATTATTTGAATCGTTTTACACAACTTGCCAAAGAGAGAGTGATTTTGACTTATAAGAAAAATCAGCATACTCATGCAAAGTTTTTGAACAAAGTATGAACATAAGGTGATCGTGATCAAGTACATTGTGATCCACATGTTGAAAATCAAGTTTAATACTTAATTTTTTGTCTTTTCATCATCAAAGAGATTCAGCACACAGTGGCTGATATTTCAAAAATCAATTTATTTTTAAGCATTTTGTATGTCGAAATTTAAGATGAAAATCATATTTTAAAATAATTGATCTTTTTAAAAAATTGTATATTTGTTGTTATTTGCTAGAATCCTTTTTATGTACCGAGAAAGCAATCACAAAACCTATTCGTAAAAATATACTACACACTTCTTCTTCTTTTTTTTCAACATGACATAATTTTTATTATAAAATATTTTCATTGAAACATGATATAACATTCAAAATAATTTTATAATATAGAAAATTAGCATGAAAATTTAAGGAGGGGATCAATTGGCCCACCAACTTAAAAAAAATCTTGTACCCAAAAAATATGAACTAAATTTTTGAAACATTTGAGAATATGTCTGGTTCATATTGATATATAAAGGTTTTTCATTAGGAATTTAAAAATTTAAAAGTGATTTATCATTGATATATAATGGTATGTCATTGATAAATATAATAATTTAGCCACAATACAAAATATTCTCTCTGATCTTATTTATAAGTCACTTTTAACATGTTTTATCAAAATTAAAGAAATCTTAAACATCATTAATTTTGTCTTAAAATTTAATAAATTTTTACCTTTATATCTAATAAAATATTATTAAATTTTATTATTGATATTTTTATTCAAAGCATTTAATAAAGGCAAAAATATAAAAAGGAGAGTTGAAAATTGACAAGTGCTCTATAAATATGACTAAATTTTTTTCTCTCTTTACCTTATAAATAAGACTAAATAATTATAATAAATATTAAATTATTTGCTTGATTTAATCCTAAAATATGGGCTATATATGCAAAAAGCCTATTTAAGAAGTATGACTTATCATTTAAAATATTAATTAACAAATTAATTTATAAAATTTTTAATTACCTTTTTTTATAGAATAAAACTCATTCTGTTTTGCTATGCATGGAATCGGACAGTTGTCCAAATTTTAAGATTTTAAGTAAAGTCAAGAATATGAATTAAGTTATATGAGTTAGCTAAAATAACAATCATATAGGTTGACTTGGGTTAAAAAAATTAAATCAAATAAAAATGAGTTTTTCTTGGCTTGAGTTAGATAACTCATGAACTATGTGAGCTAAACCTAATGGGTTAGGGTTGGCCCATCTGACCTATATTATTTTTTAAAAACTAAAAAAAATGAAGAAATATTGTAGATTCATGACTTTTGATAAAATAGATGGCATGACTTAGCTGACTCAATTCATATATTTTATACAAATATTATGAATTAATATTATGGTGTATCTAGAATAAATCATGACATTGGGGAATATTATATTGGAACTTGTCATCATTTTCATTTAGGTGTATTTTTAAAAATTTATAACAATAAATTGAAAAAATAAAATAAAATAAGTTAGAGGGTTATTTTATTTAACTCACCAATCTTTAAGGGTCAGGTTGAATTGAAATTTTTTTCAACCATAGACAAATTAGTTGAATCCAACCCAATTTATATTTTTCCTAGGGAAAATCACAATAAAAGACTTTTGGAGTATTTTATTTATAAAAAATGACCAATGATTTTGAATATGCTCTGCAAGATCAAGGGATCAAATTATAATTAAGTTTCAGTGTGAAAAGACAAAAATATTTCTCTTTTTTTTTAAAAAAAAACTCTTATTATCATTGACTGCAAGAGCTCCGACACCAATCACCGAATTGACGAGAGAGACAAATTAATGTTTTTTAAGGTGGCCAACAAGGATTTGAACTTATATCCCCTTGGTCATGAATAAAAAAATAGTTAACCACCAAGCTAACAATTACTTTCAAATATATGATGCAAATCTTTATATATATTTTTAACTTTGTTTTCACTTTCTATGCCAATACTTATTAGGAGTTTAATAGTTACTTATCATTTTATAAATGGCTAATTGTTAAATTATGAATGGTACTTGTCCAAAAAGTTAATATGCATTAGTTTCAATAAATATTGATTTATTTTTATTATCAAGAATGACAAGTCTTCACTTACAAAATGATAAGTCCCACCACTAGTTTTGAAAGCTTCTCTTACTAATTTGACAAACAAATTTTAGTAAAATAGCAAGTTCATATAAGATTTTAATATGTATATTTTTTATAATAAAAATAAGTAAACATTTGTAAAAATCAGTCCATATTAAATTTTTTTAACAAATCTCCATTGTTAATTTAATAAGTGACCGTTTGTGACATGATAAGTTTCATTAATAACTTTAAAAATTTCTCTTGATAATTTGATAAGTAAATTTTAATAAAATAAAAAATTCACATAAATTTTTGACATGTAAGTTTTTGATAATAAAAACAGGTAAATATTTATAAAAATTAGTGCATATTAAATTTTTTAACAAGTTTTATTAGTAATTTAACAAGTAGCTATTTGTAGAATGATAACTAATTATTAAACTCCTAACAAATATTGGTATGGAAGGTGAGAGCAAAGTAAAATATACATAAAAATTTGCATTATTCATTTAACAAGTTTATATTGGTATGTTAAAAGCTTATATGAACTTATTATTTTATTAAAATTTTTTTGTTAAATTATTAAGGGAAAATTTTAAAGTTAGTAACGAGATTTGTCATTTTACAAATGGTTACTTGTAAATTAATAATGGGCACTTATTCGAGAAATTTTATATGGAGTAGTTTTTATAAATGTTTATTTATTTTTATTATCAAAAGTCTACATGTCAAAAGTTTATACGAATTTGTTCTTTTACTAAAATTTATTTGTCAAATTATTAAAAGAAATTTTTAAAATTAGTAACGAATCTTATCATTTCACAAATAGTTATTTGATAAATTATTAATGGATATTTGTTTGTCAAATTATTGAGAGAAATTTTTAAAGTTAATAATGAGACTTATTATTTTATAAATAATTACTTGTTAAATTAGTAATGAAAACTTATCATTCTTGATAATAAAAACAAATAAATATTTATAAAAACTTTTTTATATTAGATTTTTTAACAAGTCTCATTTGTAATTTAATAAGTAGACATAAATGACAAGTAACTATTAAACTCTTAATAAGTATTGGCAAAGAAAATGAAAATTAAGTTAAAAATATATATAGAGATTTGTGTCATACAATTGAAAGAAATTGTTAACACAGTGGCTAACTCTTAATAAGGGAGTTTGAACAAACATTTCCTTGGCCACCTTAAAAAAAAAATTTAATTTGTCTCCTTTGGACTAGCGTTGGAGCTTTGATGGGCAATCCAACCAATAAGGCTGGAGCTATGATGGCGATAGGTAATAGTAAAGAGTTTTTTTAAAGGAAGGGGTAATTTTATCTTTTTAAATTAAAATTTAATTATAAGTTAGTCCCTTAATTTTATCAAGTAGATTTACAATTATTTTTTTTTTCTATAAATAAAATGCTCCAAAGGTTCGTCATTGTGATTTTCCCTTTTTCCTAACCTATATATAGGCCAACATTTTCCCAACTTTATTTTAAGAATAGATAAAGTCATAAAACGGAATGTTAAAATAGTTTTGAAAAAAAGGAATGTTAAAATAGTTAAGAAGTTAGGTTAATTAAAAAAAGGAAAAATTGATCTATAAACTCCCATAGGTTTCTTCGATTTTGAATTAAACCCCTATAATTTATCTTATTTTAATTAAATTCTCATAGTGTAATTGATTAAATATGTTATCTTTTGGTTATTAAAATCCTTTATTTTTTTCAAATAAAATTAAGGACTTTTGCATGTTTATCAAAAGATTATATAATTTTAGAATTAATTACATATTTTTTATAATTTAAAATTGAATAAATAAGTAAATTAACTCTTGAACTTTATGTTACAGACATAACTCATGAATGCATTTATTGTGTAAATTATTCTCTTAATTTTTAAAAATAGTATAATTAATTTTTATCATTAATAAAAGTTAATTTTAATCATTAGTTGACTTGAAAATGATAAAAAATAATATAAAAATTACAAAAAATGATCAAAAAATTATAATAAAAGATACAAAAATTTTATATAAGGACTCAAATAATTACAGAAAAGGATCAAAAAATTTTTGACCTTTTTTTAATTTTTAAAATCATTTTCTATCTTTTTTTTGGTCAACTACGGTTAAAGTAAATTTTTATTAACGATAAGAGCTATATTGCACAACTGTCAAAAGTTGATGGAATGATTCATACAATAAATAAGTTTAGAATTTATAATGCTATTAGATCTAAAGTTCAAAAAATAATTTACTCATTTATCCTTCAAAATTTGTATAATTAGGTTATCTAAATAACTTTTATACATATAGAATTTTCATAAAAATATTATAAAAATTATATTAAATATTTTTTTGCTTAAAATATTAAACCAAATTTTCTATAAAATTTCAAAATATTTTTTATTTTAAAAATTTAATTATTTATTAATAATTCTAATTTTAGTTTTTAGCACTAACATATTTAATCAATTAAATTATAAGAACTTGATTAAGATAAAATATACCATAAAAATTTAATTTAAAAATTGAAGAAAAATAATGGTGCCAAATTAATTTTTAGGAGAATCATATTTAAGGATCACACGAATAAATTATTTATAAATAAAAATCACATTCTTATTTAAAAAAATACAATATTTATATTTATCTTTATTTACGAATAATTTTTTTAATAGCACCTGAATTTAATGCCCCTTAATTTTCCCTTGAAAAAAGCCCGCGAAGGAAGGCAGTGTGCTTTCGCGGCGTTGGAAAAATGGTTTTAACAAACGGAACTTCGAACCACCGATCCATGTCCGATGTTGTAGGGTTGCATTCGATCCTAAATATGGATTTCTGGAATGGAAGTGAGGCTAAAAATCCTCCTGAAGTTGTCGAAAGATTACTGCCAATCCCATTCCCAATTTTCTCTCTTCCTTCTCCACTCTTTTCTCACCACTCAAACACCACAATGAAGCTCATCATCATCGCCTTCCACACTGCACCCCCTCCACGAACCTCCAATTTACTCATTTCTCTAGCTTTTCTAGGGTTTCCCCGTTCCTTACTTCTCATGGAAATTCATTTGGAACCCTAGATTGATTCTGCTAGTCTTTTGCTCCTCTATTGATGACGGTTACCGGATCTGGAGCTACTACATGTTCAGTTCAGGTACCTTATTTCAGCTCCCCTTCTCTCTCTCTCTCTTCCTTCTTTGCCCAATTTCCTTGGAGAAGGAAATGTTGCTTTTTGATGAACTTTGTCCAACCAATTGGTTCATAAATCTAGTGTGTTTGAACCTATGATGGGTGCAATCGCTTATGGATCTCACCCTCCTTTTAGAGCCTTTGCTTTCCATACATGGTGCTGCTGTCAAAAGGCCAAGAAAAGTTGCCTTTAAATGACTGAAGTCACTAGCATTTTTGTTAGAATCAAACTCAAAGCCAATTTTAACCAAAAAATTGGCAAATCTAATGGTCAGCTGTGATTAGAAGTTATTCAAAATTGTGTTCAATCCCATTTACCAAAAAGATAAAAAGAACACACCCCCCCCCCAAAAAAAATATTCCAACAAAAAGATTCAACTATTATTATTATCATTTTGTTCTGGCTGGTTGTTGGTAGCACTTTGTCACTTCCTTATCTTGGAATTTATGCATTTTTTTAGTTCAGTGTTTTGCATGTCTCAATCATTTTTTTTTTCAATAGGTATCTCGTCATCAGTGAGGATTGTAACTTATCAACCTAATGGGGTTGAAACCTACAAAGGAGGGGCCACCCAAAATTGAAAACCTGAGTTTACATCATCACTTGATCAATTACCTCACAAAAAATCTATATATTCGTAATTTGGTATCCAAGAAACGGCGGAGAATGCTCATTGCTGGATATGATCTTGACATGTCATATATCACAGATCGATTACTAGCAATGTCATTTCCTGCAGAACGTATGCGAGCAATGTATAGAAATCCTCTCTGGCAGGTCAAGTCTGTACTGGATATGAGACATCATGAGCACTATAAGGTGCACCTCTTTAACTCTTGATCATATGTAATGTAAAATGTTATGACATTATTCCCCTTTATAGTTTTTCTTCAGGGACGTCCATTAAAATTGGAACAATACCCTTCAAACTTCATTTTATATTTACTCCTTTATCTGCTGGATCATTTTGTACTGTGCTTTCAAAGTGAATTAATGAACTGATACCTGGTTTATTTTTAAAAGGGGCTACATTCACCTTGGTATTCATGCTAATTGCTACATAGGTGAGCTTATTTCAATAGCGTATTTCTTTTATATTTCAGATATATAATCTTTGTATAGAAGAAAATTATGATCCAGCACACTTTTATGGTCGTGTGGAAGCATATCCCTTTGATGACAACCATGTACCACCTCTTGAAATGATCAAGAACTTCTGTGAAAGTGTGCATTCATGGTTATCAAGTGACTCAAAAAATATTGCTGTCATTCATTGCATGGTATGAGATTTCAGCCTTACTAATACAATCTTGAGATTTTTTTTAACGTATTAGCTTTTACCTCTTCTTATATTGGTTCTTCAATTTAAAATTTTTTATCTCATTCCCAGACAAATATATAACTAAGATTATTGGCAATCAAGCTATCTTAGTAGAATCCAGAGATTTATTTTTATTTGTCTGAATCCAGTACAAATATAGGAGTTAGTTAACAGCTTAAGAAATTGATGTTCTCTCTTGAATGATGCTTCAACATGTTCTTTATAGTCAACTTTTCCCTGCTGTCACTGATTGCCTTAAAGTCTTGTGGTGGTGTACTTTTGATGATGAAGCTCAAATTTTAAAAAGATCTACAGTTCAACTATTTTAATGCATATCTAAAACTGGATCCAGAGCATGAATTTGTGCAATCTTACCAGTGAACTGTGGCAAAATACGTTTGAGAATCATTCCTTTACTTGAATTATCAAATGCTCACAATGTGTACAAAACAGGTTCTCAACAAGTTTATTTATTTTTGCTGTACTAGCCATATCTTATCTTTATCTAAATGACTTAAATTATGCAGGCAGGGAAGGGCAGAACTGGCTTGATGGTATCTTCATACCTAGTTTATAGCGGTATGTTGACAGATGAGGCTCTTCAATTGTATGCCGATAGGCGGACAACCAATAATGAAGGAGTAAGTCATGTTAGGTATAATCCCAACAATTTGAAAGGTTCACTTGTCAAAGTTTTCAGCAACCCACAAGTTTGATTAGTATCACTTCGCATAATTTTTTTTTTTAAAACAATGACAGGTTGATGAATGGTAAACTAATAAGGCTGTGATATGTGATGATATTTAAATTCCATGTTTGTTGACCTTAATTGGTGAAAATGCAGTACTCACTTATGGCCTGTTTGGTTGTTGGAAAGGATATGAATGTAATAGAATGGGGTGATAGAGAATAAAATGGATGAAAATGATGATGATCATAGATAGATTTTTGTGAGAGTAGGGCAATGGAGTAATAAAGAGGTGTGAATAAGGATTGATATGTGTAAGATCATGAATCTAGTTTCCCAATTTTTAAGGAATGATGATTACCATGGGAGAGACTTTCCATGGTTAATGTCAACCAAACATGATTGTGTTGGAATAAAATCATAGACAAGTGCTTATATTGGAATGTGATGAATGATGATTACTATGGGAAAGGATATTCCTAAAAATCCTAGGAGTTGAAGCAAATGAGACCTTAGAGACTAATTAGAGTTTGCAGGGAATGAACATATTGTTAATCAACCATTTCATTAATCATATTTGGGCCAAAAAAAGGTTTTATTTATAATAACCAGGCATTTGGATGTAATTCCAAGGTACAAGGGTTCTTCTCTTGATGTTCCCCTAACCCCCTGTCTGGTTGGAGGGGAGGAGAGGCCCTCCAAAACCTCCCCTCCAAATTGGGAGGATTGGGAGGGATTCCTCCCCCACCTCTTCCCTTCCCTCCATTAAAACCTCTCCTCTCTCCTCTCCTCCAACCAAGTATAGCGTAAAAGAAGTAGAATATCCATTCTCTTCCTCATTTTAACCTACAGACGTGCTATTATAATGTGTTAGTATTTCCTTTAGCATATTGGTTTTGTATTTTAGAAGATATGGTTTCATACATTTTCTCAGTGCATAAGCAGCCTGTCTTTATTATTTGTGTTTCTTTACCATGTGAGGGTGTTGTGTTTCCCATTTCCTCCTCTTTGTTCTTTTTCTCATTTTTTCTATTCAACTTCTATTTTTCTATCTCAAGGAGAAGAAATTGAAATTTACAAGAACAAACTAACCACATTGTTGTGGTGTTAGAACAGGTATCGATACCAAGCCAACGTCGTTATGTAGGGTACTGGGAAAGTATGCTATCTGTTCCTAGAGGCACTGGTAATGAGCCAATAAATGTGAGCTTGCCTCAAACATGTAGCAGAGAATTGCGGCGAATCCGGCTTTATGATACGCTTAATGTTGAAGCGATCTTCTTTGTGATCTCAGAGATGCAGAAGGTCTGTTCATTTCAATTTTAGAGGCCAGGATTTGAATTAGAAGACTTACTAGAGTTCAATGTTTCTGTCTATTAAAAGAACCATTGATATATGCTTGCAAGGAAATGCAGATACTTAATTAATCAAAACTTAAGCAGAATGAAGAGTAACATATATCTTTTGTTGGCCAGCACAAGGTTGTTTAAATTTCATAACCAAATTGCATGAAGTTAATTACAGACCGAGCTTCTAAGGTAGTTTGAAGAAACTTTTAGTCCCGTATGCGGGGATGACTATGAAATCAGAATTCCCATGTTGATTGGTTTATGTATTTTGAATTCCCCTTGCTGATTTGGTATTTAAAATACAAGCGAATGAGATATCGTTTGATAAGAAGTAAGTGATATTTCTCTACTTATATTCCTATTTGTTTGTAGGTTCCTAATCAAGTCTACTGTCCATCAGTGGAGATTATTAGGAGCAGCTGCAGACAAATTAAGAAAGGATATCAGCAAAACTACAGTCCTTGCTATTATCTCTCTTATGTCGAAGGTGATGAAGATGGAAAAGAATTAAGATCAGAGGAACCTCGTGTTGTAGTCCAAATGGACACTGAGGATCCGGCAATCTACCAAAAATCTTGTCTGGACCATTATTTTGACAAACCAGTCCAAGTAAGTAATGATTGACCTGTTCTCTTTTGTGTGCATATATGTCTAATATTTAATATTATTTGGTGTAGATGGTGATAAAACTAATCCTTGTTATTAATCACATTCCATCTGATCAACTTGCTTCTCTTAAAATTTGTTCTTAGAAATTTGGAAATTCTTCCCAACTACTTTCGGCCACTTAATTGTTTAGGGAACTGCACTGTAACAAAATGTAATTAAAGAAAAGTTTCTTAATTCCTAGATTTTCTTAAAATGAACAAGAAAGCAACTTAAACTGACTTGAGTAGGATAAAAAAAGTAGAAATTGCTACGAAGAAAATTACTCATAGATATGGCTGCTAGTTAGTTGAAAATGACAGACTATTCATGTTAAAGAACTCTGTTGCTTGTGTATACATTATTTATTTACCTGTTAGCATACATAAGAAACTTACGTGGATAACGAGGGGTTTATCTAATTATATTCTATTAGTCGACATGCATGCATGCATGCATGCATGTATGTTCATTTTCAATTCTCATTGCCAACAGCTTACTGGAGATGTCCGTGTCATATTCTACCAAAAATTGATGGGAAGCCGACTTTTCTACTGCTGTTTTAACACAGCTTTTGTTAGGAATGGCTTGCTACAGGTAATCTCGTTCTTCTTTCAAAGACTGCTATCTCCTCTTTAATATATGAAAAGTATGGATGCTTTAATTATATGAAAATACCAATGCTTGGTCTTGGTATAAAACTCGTTCTTCTTTCAAAGTACTAATCCCTCCTTTTTGTTATATGAAAACGTGAATGATTTGTTGTATGAAACTACGATGCTACTCTTAGTATAAAACTACACCAACAAGCACAAGTAATTTGTCACCTGCTAGGAAAGTTCTTCTTAGGGGCATGTTTCGGTTGGTGATATAGAGAAGGGAAGGAAGGAAATGTTTGATTAAGTCATAGGGAAGATCTAAATGAAACACTCTACTCTATTCTCCTCTATCCAAACATAGCCTAACTGCAGCTTTACAAGACAAAACTTCATTCCAGTGAGTCAAGGAAAAATTTTCTGGTAGTCGATCTTGGAAGTATATAGGACTAAGGATTTGGAAGCATCTGCAATCTTAGTTGAATTGCACAACGTAGTTACTACGTTGCACACTCAAGCTTTGACTATGTTTACTGTTTGTAATCATTGTAGCTGAAGATGAAAGACTTGGACAAAGTAGGGAATAAAGGAAGATCAATCTGTGGGCCATCCTTTTGCTTAGAACTTCTGTTTGGCCCTGCCAATATGAAACACTCGGCAACTCCATCTACTGATGAGGATTCTGGGGATGAATATCCTTAAAACCATTGCACAGGTCCATGCAAAAATGACGTTGCCAAGTTCCAGTTTTGCTCCTTAAATACAATAATTGTCCTTTTTCCCTGCAAAACGATGTCAGCTATAGTCGCTTGCTAAGTTGCCATGTTATGAATTACCAGGGCACTGATTCATTTAGCTGTCTTATCGTCAAAGTTTTAAGTGGCGTAAGGCATGATGTAAACAATAAAAAAAAAAAGAAAAAGAAAAAGCAATTTTGGTGTTGTTTTAGTGTATCAGTAGCCTTTTGATAATGCACGGAAGATGATGTTGAGAAAATCTTAATGCATGCATTTTTTTTAGTTTTCTCATTATCACTCTTTAGTCTGTCTAAATTTAATTACAAACTTTTGTCTAGAAACTCTGACACTGGTAAGGACTTTGAAGTATCAAGCATCAGGATGAGAATTGAATTGATGGAGATACTAGTGGAGTTCTGGAAATATTTTCCTGGTTTAAGGTCTTCAAAATGATGAAGTGCATGTATCTGATCCCATGACATCAATACAATAGATCTTTATTCATGTTAAAAAGGGCAAAGATGATAGTGTTTTCTAGATAGTAGATAATAATATATCACAATGCTAAAAGATGATGGCCCAACTTTCAAGAGCACAAAGTTTACACTGCAAAAGAGGTGAAGCAAGTAGAGTCTCATTCTACATGAATCTTTTCTGAATGCAAACTGAAATATTGCATTCGCTGAGGAAGGGGAAACGAACTAAAAGAGGAAACCAAATAAAAAACAGGTGATTCATCTCATCATTTGCCTCTTATAGCCAAAGGGGTGGGAAATGGTCAAAAATGTGAAAATCACATTTAAGTTCTATGGGAGTCTTTCATACTGCAAAATTCATCATTTTGAAGAGTTTAAACTAGGATTAAAACTACAAAAACTACAGGATTAAAAGTAAAATTTGATGAAATTATAAAAATCAAAGATTATGTTTTCCCATATATAAATCAAATATATATTGGATATTTGATTCATGAGGTTTGTGTATAGAGCAAATTAGCAAATCTAGTTGGAAGTGATTTACCTTTTGCCCCTCACATCACGGAGAAATTGTCACGTACTCAAGATAGCCAATAGAAAATAACAACGACAGAGAAAAATGTTAGCTCGAGACATTATTGAATTGAAAAGAAATTCAGAGAGGAGGAGTTACAGAAAAGAAACAACCAGAGAGGAAGAAGACCACACAATCACAAATTCCACGCCCTCCCTCGGGTCTCGCCCCTCATTACATAATCATTCCCATAACTAACCGACTATACGTGGTTCGTTCCCTCTCTCCCTCTCTCAACTTCCATGTAACTCGTCTCGTGCGATTGCTTTTGCGAACAACCTTAGTGTCTCCACGTCAGTGTGCCTATGCTGAAGTGTAACAGAAATTAATCCTTCTGACCAGTGATACTTCAAGTGCCTCAAAACAAAACCCAAAAAAGAAAGGAAAGGAAACGGAATAATATTCACCCTCCTAAGTAATCTAACGGGACAAGTAGAATCTCCTTCCAAAATCACCTCCTAATAATCAATCTCTTGTGATCGGAGCATTTCTTAAGGCAAAAACTTCTCCCTGTTCTTTGAAATGTATACATCAAGCATTGGTTTTATTTTATTCAAAGCAACAATGGATCACCTGAAATTAAGATTCCATAAATTTCATGAAGTTTGTCTTTTATATATATATAAAAAAAAAAGATAGAGGATTTTTATCTTCTAATTTAGTCGTGGGTGTTAATAAAATTTCATTGATCCCATTCTTGTGTTCGTCCATTTAATTATTGATTTTGTTTAACAGGATAAGATTGTTACATTAAAATAAATATATTATTTATTTAATGATTATCATAAAAAAGAATTATGGTTTTATTTTCAAAAGTTTTGAAGTGATGACAATGAATAATAATTAGAAATCTTACACCGTTAAATCAAATGAATATAACTAAATGGACAGACGAATGAGATTAAGTATGAAAAGAGATATTAAGAAAGAAGATGATTCTAAATCCCGCATGACCATGTTAAATTTAGAGAAGTTCCATTTTTGCTTGATATAAATTTCATCAACTATTAGTCTTCAGATTATAGTAATAATATCTCTTAAAGATATTTCTTTAGGAGATGTTTGTATCCTTAACCTTTAATATTTATAATATTGAGGGGAAATGCTTATTGATAAGTGCATATTTTATAGTTAAATAGGTATATATTTTGGTTTATATTTGATTAGATTTATTAATATTTCATATTTATTTAATTAATATTTATTTTTTTTGATCACTTAATTATAAGATAACAAAATTTTGATATAAAATCTACTCATATTTTTATTTTCTATATTGTGCAGAAAAATTATAAAAAAAGAAAAAGAAAGAATGAGATCGAAGTTGATAAAAATATGGGTCAATATGTAGATATATACATTTATATCCATAGATGAGGAAAGAGACATGCAATTGCAAGGGGAGTTGAAGAAAAAAAAAAGAAAAAAAAAAGATAATACCTAAAAGGAAGGGATCAAATCTCACATATAGACCCGAAAGACCTTGAGAATCCGACATGATTTAAGCTACTGGATGTTATTTTTTCAAAGAAGGAAAAATGATACAACAAGGGATAAAATATTATTTATATATATATATATATATATATTGAAGTTTTACCTTGATAAAGAATAAAAAAAAAGAGCCTACTATCACTTTAACTATACAAACCTTCTCCGTCAAGAGAGAATGCATAGAATCACTTATCTAAATATTTTAAGAATTTTTTTTAAAATATTTGAAGCTCCTAAAAGCATTTTAAAGGTTGAAAGTAAGATCGTTGAAAAGTTGTATATATCATAATTATTATTTCTTCTTTTTAATTTTCTCTGTGATTATTTTTTATAATTGAGAATTTTAAAATGATGTTATTTGAGTTTATTATGTGTTTTTAAATTACTCCGAGTAGAGATGTAACCCAACTAAAAAGCTAGTTTTCTATTTTTTTTATTTTTATTTTTTTGTATTTATATTTATGAATATTTTTTCTTTTTTTAATTATATTTATTTTTCATATTCTTCATGTTGATTTTATAATTTGCCACCATTTAATCAAACATATGGGTAATCTTAATGAACTGAAAGATGAAGAGAGAACCTAAATTTAGAGGAATAAATATAAATAATTAAACTAGGGATAGTTTTAAAAATTTGTAGTGACTTAAATTATAACTTCACAATTTAATTAGTTGATTGTATATTGTGAGAATGAATTCAACACTAATTAAAAAAGAAACTAATAATTTGAGAAAATATTATGACATTTTAGAAATAGTTGTTATTATAATTGATTAAAGAATTAACTCAAATAGTAGAAATTATTAATCTATAAGGTGAATTCTTATCCCAACACTTTAAGTGATTGCGTTTTCCTCATCATTATTTATTTATTTATTTTTATTACTTATATTTTTATCAAATAATTCATTTTATCTATTTTTTAAATTATTAATTATTTAAATTAGTAAAAGTGTAACTTACTTATAGGTTCGACACCTGAAATACTCTAATAAGAGTAATTTATTATTGTAATCCTGTATACTTATAAAAGCGATCACTTATCAAAATGTCACAAAATTTATAGCAATTTATAATATTTAGAGACGTTTCTATTTTTTAGGTTATAATATTTATAACAATTAAATTAGGGGAAATGCCTATCAAAATGTCACAAAATTTAAGGTTATATTCCTTGTTTAATGACAAAAAGAAAAATGCATCTAGTGCACAAACTAACATCAAACCCTGTACATGCATTTAGATTGCCACTCAGATAATGAAAGAAAAAGAAAAACAGTTCTCTACATTAGAGTTGGTTCTTAAAGAATCAGAATCTAAATAGACTAGCTCTATTAAGCTTGAATATGCTTTAGGGCTTCATTTTGGTCAGTCCAGTGCTGGCCTTTAGGATCTCACCCTTACATATATATTTTTATTTTTTAATTTAAAAATTTAAAAAAACATACTTAAAATTTCAAAAAAGTTATGCATTAAGTCTTAAAAAAATTAAGTCAATACAAACAACGATAAATTTAAGTCTAATAAAAAACAACAACATCATAGAATCAATATCGATGACAATCAAACTTTGCTGACATCATCAGCTAAATTTTAAAAGTTTTCATTGTCATCAACATCAATTTTATTTTTTTCCTTGTGGAGTCTCATCAATGACAAAGATATCAAACTTTTTTATATATTCCTTCTTTGTCCTCATGAAATGAAGCTAGGGTTTTAACATTAGCATAGTATTTAATTTTTTTTTCATATTAAAATTTAAAAAAATTATAAAAAGGCTTAAATGGTCGGCCTAGCCCTAAAGGGTTGGCCTTTTTATTTTAGGGCTTAAAATAACTAGCTCAAATTATCATTTTACATTTTAAAGTAGCAGCTCAGTCATAAACTTTTTCAAGCTTGTTGGACCAGCCATAATTGACAGCTTTATCCACATATTAAATTGAATAAAATAAGTAGAAATTGAAAAAAAAAGAAGGAGAAGAAGAAGGGTAAACAAGTAAATTATTCTCTAAACTTTATATCCAAAGTATTATAGATGTTAAACTCATTTATTGTGTAAAATATTTTTTTAATTTTTAAAAATGATACAATTTGACCCTTGTATTAATAAAAGTTACCTTTGATAGTTAGTTCACTAGAAAATGACAAAAATGGACCTCAAAAATTATAAAAAATAGCCAAAAATATTTTAGTTCTTTTCTGCAATTTTTTAGGTCATTGTTTATAATTTTTTTAATTATTTATTATAATTTTTAAGGTCTTTTTATGTTATTTTATGGTTAATTAACAATCAAAATTAATTTTTATTAATGAGATGGATTAAATTTCTTATTAACGATAATAGATTTCTAAGTTATGGTTTATGATAAATTTTACAATAAAAAAATTACATATTTAACCTTATACTTCC